ATTATTTTAAAAACCTCCGCTCATCCCGCCAGGGCCACGGCAGAGCCTTACGGGCTGGGCAGAACCAGGAAACACCCGCGGCTTGCTTTCCCGGCTCTGCTCAGCTCGCACGGCCCTGATAGGATGAGCGGAGGTTTTTAAAATAATTCACTTTACCATCGAAGGCAAAGGGAAGGCAGCCACAGGAGCGCCTGAAGCCAAGTGTCTCCTCAGGGCTCCGGTTGCAGGGAGGAGCCCTGACTGGCTGCACGTGGCTGCGCCAAACGCCGCGGCATTGCTGTAATGCTACGGCAGCAAGGGAGAAGGGAAATTAACGGTGGCGGAAGGTCTCCCGATATAAAGTGCTCCACCAACACAAGCAGCACCATATCCGGGCATGCAACAAAGTACTTCCTAACGGCAAGCCCCCCCCCCCCCCCGCCATTCCCCCCCCCCATTTCGCATGTTTAATATGGGCCTTAATTTGGGGGGAGGGGCTTAATTTGATTTTATGCCAATAAATCATGCTGGGGCTTCCTATTGGTGGAGGCCGTATTGTTGGAGAAACACGGTACTGGTCCCATTCCATGGATGAAAGCTGACTGAAATATTAGAATTTTTCTTCCAACATTCCACATTACATCTGCAGATCGCAACCAAATTTAGAGGTCCGTGGAAATCACAGGATGTGGAGAACATTTTTCTGCTTTTGGGGGGTCTATCCATCAGCTTCTGTTGCTCAATTGTCTCCAAGGAAAGCCCGAAACTCTTCCCCCATAATTGCTAAAGAGAAAGTAAGAAAAAGAATATATTCTAAGTCTAACTAAAATGGCTACCGATAGGTCAATTTCGGGCTTGACAGGCTGCCCTTCCTCATTTGAAAAGAAACCCCTGCAATGACATAAAATACACAAAGATTGAAATTAGGTTAAACACAGTCATACAATACGCATTTTAACCTCCTCTGCCACCGACAGAATTTGGTTTTATGTGTGGATATTTTTCATGGAATTTCCCCACCAATCAGCATGTACTTTCCAGCTATTTACCTAAGTCGCTTGTGAAATTGGATAGCCTTTCCAATAAATTAAATATTGTAATGCTCTGTTCTCTGAGAACCATGCTGGCCTTCATAAAACAACCATCTTTCTTCTCACTTTCTCCTGCTCTCCTTATGACACAGGCCAACAAAACTCAGTACTGAGTTTGCAGAAGATCATGATATCTTCTCCAGCCCCCATTTTGATGGGCCTTTGAACTCCAAAGATATACAGGTATTTATGCTGGATGAGGAGGTTGTGGGAAACGTCCATTCCACAGATATTTTTTGGGATTCTCTTTACAATCATCCCTTCTGTGCAGGAGGATCTCGATTCCGTCCCTATCTCAGATCAAGACCACGTGACACCGAAGACACAGATGTCGGGGAACGTCACAGTCCCAAGACTGGGGAAGGATACCAGGCCAAAAGCAGCCAGAAATCAAGAGCCAGGTAAAAGAAGAAAGCTAAATAATAATGGAGAATATTTGTAACTCGAGGTTGACACGAGAGGTCCTTGGTGCTCTCTGAGCTTGATTGTTTTCTTGCAGAGGTTTCATTGACCAAACTAGGGAACATCATCAGGGCTAGTAAGGAGTGGGGTTTGCTCTCAGTTTATATTCTAGTGTCTTGTCCTGTCAGTGTTGGTGGGAGTGCTGTTGGAGCTTGTTTGCCAGTTCAGCAATCCAAGAAGTAAACAATACCGCAATCAAGGAGTTGAAGTTCCACAAATCTCAAGATTGTCAAGGTTGAGATATTCTCAAAGGAGAGAAACAACCTGGAAGTAAGGAGAAACTTCCTAAGAGTGAGGACAATTAACCAGTGAAATAGTTTGCTTCCAGAAGTTTTGGATGCTTAATCATCACTGGAGGTTTTTTTTAAAAAAGGACTGGACAACCACACGAGTCTGAAATGGTATGGGGCCCCTCGCTTGAGCAGGAGGTTGGACTAGAAACCCCCAATGTCCCTTCCAGCTCTATTCTGATTGGTTTATTGGTTGATTGACACTGCTCTAACCCCTTTGTGATCCAACCTATTGGGTAAACCCAGGGAATTCAGGAACCAAAGGAAGAATTGTGCAACCTGAGCGAATATGCAGCAGGCCAAATGTTGTGGCAGCTTTTGCTGATGACGATATAACAAGTCAGCATTTCAGCTATGATTTTATATATCTGACAAAGCCAGCTACATTTGTCATTGTCCTGCTTCCCCCTCCAAAAACCCAAATCGTATTTATGTTTGAATTATTTTCTTTGTAATTTACAATGCAGTACACCAAAGGGGATAAGATCTATAAAACAGGATCACTTTGTTCAATTAGATGAGATCAGATCATATTGTACTTGCTGAGGGGTATTGGGTTTGTTTCTTTGTGAGTGTTTAGGATGGGTGGATCTCAAACTCCATTTTGTTGTTTTTTTGTGGCTGCTGGCAAAGCTCAGGAAATTGGCAACCGCTGCATTGCATAATTTCCAAGAACAAATTATGAAGCGTGTGTACTTCAAACAGCCAGACTAGCAAATTATTTTGTTCACACCCCAGACTAAGTAATAATACGATTAGATTTTGACTTAGACCCACATGGGAAACAAACCATCATGGTTTGTAATTTAGGAATGACATGGAAACACCTTGTTAAGGATACAGGTAGTCCTTGATTTACAACCACAGAATATCTATTGCTAAACAAGGTGTTTGTTAAATCAATCACGGTCAACTTTGTTACATTTTTTGTCTGTTCTTGTTAAAGAAATCACTGAGGTTGTTAAGTGACTCAAGCGGCCATTAAACGAATCTGGTTTCTCTTCATTGATTTTGCTTGTTGGGGAGCCTGTTTTGCCCTATTTCTGCAGTGACCATATTTTGTTGGGAAAAAAAACATAAATTAACAACAAACAAAGAACAAACTTGAAAAATGGAAATCTGCAAATCTGAAACAGGTTCATGGGGATCAAATTTAAAAAAAATTAAATGTATATTTATGTATAAAGCAAAATTATAAACACAAAAATTAAATGTACATTTAATTTTTGTGTTTATAATTTTGCTTTGAAAAGAAAAAATTAAGAGCAAAACCAAGAAGTTACTGCAGAATAAATGACAATTTTTCACACGTATGACCGTCGCAGCATCCCATGCTCACGTGATCCAAATTCAAACACCTGGCAACTGGCTCATATTTATGACACAGTCGCAGCGTCCTGAGGTCACAGGAATACCTTTTGCTAACTGCTGAAAAGCAAAGTCAATGGGGAAGCCAGATTCACTTAAACAACTGGGTTACTAACTTAACGACGGCGCTGATTCACTGAACAGCCGTGGCAAGAAATGTAAAATGGGGCAAAACTCAACTAACATTTCACTTGGGAATGAAAACTTTGGGCTCAAATGTGGTTCCTAAGTCGAGAGACAATTCTTGGGAAAGAGAATGGGGCGTTGGTTCTTACCTGATACGCCCCTTCTAGGCGAGCCGCGAGGAGCATCCAGACTGTGGGATGTGCTTCTGAGTCCTCTTCTTTCAGGCTGAGCTTTAGACGAGGAAACGCTCCGCCCCTCCCACGTGGCATCGCGCAGCGTCTCCCCAGTTTTTTGCGATAACGAGAAGAGAAGTTATTGATCCTTTCTAATCTACTATTGGCTCCTTGGCTGAAACAAGAGTCCCCACCAGACGGAGATACTAGGGTGGGGCTGGATGCTCCTCGCGGCTCGCCTAGAAGGGGCGTATCAGGTAAGAACCAACGCCCCATTCTCCCTCGAGCCGCTCGGAGCATCCAGACTGTGGGACATACCAAAGCTTGGCTGTCCTATGGGTGGGACTCCGTCTGGCCCGAAGGCCCCTCCGGATCACTGACAACCCTCTGTAAGACCCGCCGGCCAAAGGAGGCCTCCGCTGAGGCATACGTATCTATCTTGTAATGCCTGATAAACGGGGACGGAGAGGCCCAGGTGGCTGCCCTACAAATGTCAGCGATGGGGGCTTGTGTGGCCCAGGCCGCCGAAGTGGCTGCACTCCTGGTGGAATGGGCAGTTATTCCACCAGGTGCAGGCAGAGAATGGGAAAGGTAACACCTGGCAATGGTCGCCCTGATCCAGCGGCTGATAGTGGAAGGAGAAACCTTGAGCCCTAGCGTCTTGGGTTGAAAGGATAGGAAAAGAGATTCCGACCTTCGTAAGGATTGAGTGCGCTTAATATATATACGCAAGGCCCTTCTAACGTCTAGGGTGTGCCAGAGAACCTCCCTGTTCCCGGAGGGTCTAGGGCAAAAATTTGGTAGAACCAGTTCCTGTGATCTATGGAAGGGCGAGTTAACCTTGGGTAGGAAAGTGGGGTCAGGACGCAGGACGACCCGGTCTGCATGGAACACGCATAGATCGCTCCTGACTGACAGAGCTGCTAATTCCGACACTCGACGAGCAGAAGTGATGGCTACTAGAAAAACTACCTTAAAGGTGAGGAACTGAAGAGATGAATCCCTCAAAGGCTCAAACGGAGGACGTGTAAGAGAAACTAGGACCTTGTTGAGGTCCCATGTGGGAAACCTGTGAACAGTGGGAGGGCACAGGTTGGTGGCACCCCTAAGGAAGGATCTAACCCGGGGGTGATGGGAAAGGGAGCCGTAGTTATCACAGGAGACCACTGTTGAGAGGGCAGAGACTTGCCGTCTCAGGGTGTTAGGTGCAAGCCCCTTGCGAAGGCCTTCCTGAAGAAATTCCAGGATCTGAGCCACGGAGGGAGAGAGAGGGTCAACCTGGGACCCACTACACCACTTGCAGAACCCCTTCCAAGTGGCATCATAAATTCGTGTAGTGGAGGGTCGCCTGGCGGCCAAAATAGTGTCGATGACTTGGCTTGAGAGGTTCTCGCTGGTCAGACGGATCCGCTCAACTTCCAGACGGCTAACTGGAGCCATTGAGGGGGCCCCTGAGAGAGGGAGACCCTGTCCGGGGGGATCCGCCATGGGGGCGCTACCGATAAGTTGCGGAGGTCCGCAAACCACGGTCGCCTGGGCCAATAGGGAGCCACCAGGAGAAGGTCTGCCCTCTCCTGAATGAGTTTCTGAATGACTCTGAGCACTAGCGGGAGCGGAGGGAAGGCATATAGGAGCCCTGGGGGCCATGGGCAGCGCAGAGCGTTGTGGTTCTCCGACCCGTGAGACGGATACCGGGAGAAAAACCGTGGAAGTTGTGTGTTGGATGGGGAAGCGAATAGATCCACCAGCGGTAGGCCAAATATCCTGGATGCTTCCTCGAATAGGGATGGATGGAGCCGCCATTCTGCTTGGTCCACCGTGGCCCTGCTCAGCCAGTCCGCCTGGGTATTGTCTATTCCGGAGATGTGTTTGGCTTTTAGTGATAGGAGGTTGGCCTCTGCCCAGCGGCAAAGGCGCTCGGCTTCCTTCATCAGCTGAATGGACTGGGTGCCCCCTTGCCTGTTGATATGGGCCTTGGCCGTGATGTTGTCTGTGAGAACGAGAACGTGACGACTGCGGATCTGGGGGAAGCTGCACAGAGCCAGATGGACGGCGTGGAGCTCTAGCCAGTTGATGCTGCATTTTTGTTCGGTCGGCGACCATTTGCCTTGTGCCGAGAGTGAGTTGAGATGAGCGCCCCAACCGGATAGACTTGCATCCGTAGTGACGGTGAGTCTTTGAGGCTCCGCGAAGAGGTGGCCTCTGTTGATGGCGGGATTGGTCCACCAGAGAAGAGACGTGAGGACCTTTGGAGGGACCTTGACTCTGACCTTCGAGTTGCTTCTTACGGATCTTTGGAACGGGAGCAGGAACCACTGGAGGGACCTGCTGTGTAAGCGGGCCCAGGGAATAATAGAGATGCATGACACCATTTTGCCCAACAATCTAGAGAGGTCGAGCAAGGCCACCCTCCTAGAACGTCTAATCTGTTTGACCAGGGTTTGAATGCTAAGGAACCTCTCTGGGGAGAGGAAAACTCTCTCTGAGACCGAATCAATTATGGCACCCAAGTGGTTGATTCGGGTGGAAGGGGTAAGTTGGCTCTTTTGACAATTGACTAGAAACCCGTGTGCCCGTAGGGCTGAGAGGGTGACCCTGGTATCCCTGACTGCCTGGGACTTGGACGGGGATAGAATAAGGATATCGTCCAAGTAGCAGTGGAGGCGGACGGGAATGCTCCTGAGGTGGGCCGCCAGGGCCGCCAGGACCTTGGTGAAGGACCTGGGGGCCGAGGCCAGCCCAAAGGGTAGGGCCACGTATTGATAGTGAAGGCCATTGTAACAGAACCTAAGGAATTTGTGATGAGAGGGCCTGATTGGAATATGGAGGTATGCCTCAGAGAGATCTATGGAGGACAGCCAGTCTCCCCGCCTGGTGCCTAAGAGAATTGATTGCAAGGTGTGCATTTTGAATTTGCGTTGGATAAGGTGACGGTTGAGCCGTTTCAGGTCTAGGATGGCTCTCCAGCCCCCAGAATGTTTGGGCACCACAAAGAGATGGGAGTAAAATCCCTTTCCTCTCTGAGCCGGAGGGACAGGTTGAATGGCCTGGATATCAAGCAGGTGATGGATGGCTGCATCCATTAGAGCACGTTTGGTGGGATCCCCTAAGGAGGGGGATGGGAAAAAACGATCAGGGGGAGTGGATTTGAACTCGAGGGCGAGACCAAACCTTATTGTGTCCCTAACCCATGCATCGGAAGTGGATTTATCCCATTGGGCGGCGAAGTGGCTGAGGCGGCCACCAATGGGGAGGGAGGAAGAGGCTCTACCTTCTGCGGTAGGGCTTTCCTCCCGGTCCCCGAAAGGGTCTCTTATAACCACCCCCGCGCCCAGTTCTGTCGCCCGAGTCCATGCGATCCTGGGATCGGAAGGAAGGGGGTCGGGGGAATCTGGGCGGGAAGGGGGGTTGGTAGAAAGGGCGGGGAAAGCTCCTCCGAAAGGGCTGGGAGCCCCTGGTCTCCGATCTTCGAAAAAGGGAAGGCAAGTACTTCCTCTTACTGCGACCCTCGACCAGCAGGGGTTCGAGGGCCAGGCCAAACAGTTTGTCTCCTGTAATAGGGGCAGTGGCCAGCTTGACCTTATTCTTTACATCCGCCTGCCAGTGTTTGAGCCATAGCAGGCGACGAGCCATGACGTGGGACGTGATGGCCCTGGAAGAGAATTTCACCGACTGGTAAGTGGCGTCAGCCGAGAACTCGGCTGCAGCCACTAGCTTCGCAATGTCCTGGTGCGCCCTCAGGTTGGAAGCGGGGACGTGTTCCCTGAGCTGACGTAGCCAGCGGATAGAGGACCTAGTGAAAAAAGAGGCGGCGGTAGCTGACTTAATGGCCCAGGCGTCGGATAGGTGTGCCCTGCGTAGGGCCAGCTCCACCCGCTTGTCCTCAGGTTTCAAGGCCTCTAGGGCCTCACTAGGTGTGGAGGAGGAAGCTAGACCCACAATGGGGTCATCGACCTCTGGAATGTTCAGGAGGCTGGACAGTGCCGGATCGAGATTAAAGAATCTCTTGTCTTGGCTAGAGGGTGTGGGAGGGGTCCCTGTGGAGGATAGTTGCTTCGCTACCAGATCCACGAATATGGGGGGGGGATGGGATGACCTCCGCTTCAACCACTGGTTGGGTGAAAATGGAGTCTTCTGGGCCCTCTGGGATGGGGGGGAGGTCAGCAGGGGCCTGGGAAAGAAGGCCCGAGACATTCTTGGCCTTAAGGAGGAGGGACTTGAACATGTGCGGTTTGAAGAGCCCCCCAAAGGTGGGTTGGTCAGGAGAAGTGCCCTCGTCCTCGGACATCTCCCCCTCCATGATGTCAGTCTCTAAGGGAGGTTCACTGTAGCGGGAGGATCCCATCTGGGAACCCTCATCCTCCTCCCCGAAGTCCCCAAAGTCCCCTTCCTCCTCAACCTGGGCCCCAACCGGAGGAGGGCTGTCCCTCTGAGAGAGTACCTGATCAACCGGGGGGACCGGTTGTGGAAGGGATCTGATAGACAAGGAGTCGTGCTCGGAGAGTCGAGGAGAGAAGCCTGATCTGGACATGTGCTGTAGTTCCTCTATAACACTCTGGCGGATGGCTGATTCCATCCAAGCCCTGATGTGAGGTGGAACCTCAGATGTAGAAGGTTCATCCTGGCGCAGACCAGCAGCCGTGGGTGTAAAAGTGGCTTCAGGTGTCAGACTAATCGTAGGACCGGGGGTCGGGAGACCCTGGGGCGAACTGCGCCTAGGTAGGGAAGAAAGGCCTGGGGGGGGAGGTTGAATAGAAGTAGGGGGTGGAGGAGGAGGTAGAGACGGCTCCGAGCGGGACTCCCTTGAACGCCTGTCGAACTCTTTTTCTAACACCTTGTGGCGCCTTAAGGCGTCACGTTGAGAGGCCTTGGAAGGTTCCTTGTCCTTTCTAGAGCCCTTAGGTTCCTTGTCCTGCCTGCGCAAGTAGTGGGACTTTGCCTTAGCCTTCAATGAAGGACGTTTAGAGGAATTGTCGTCTGCCATATTGAATAATAGAGATTAATAAGGGCGGTTGGCTCGCCCAGATCAGGCCTGGATAAGGCCGGGTGAGGATGAGGCTGGCCCGCTCCCCCTTTTGGAATTTTACTTGTACAGAGATAACAGAAA